TAAAGATGTTGCAGCACCGCGTAAGAAGGTTTCCATTCACCTTCACTTTCGGTGTTTTAGTCAGCATGAATTACCAGATCTAACAATTTTGTGACTTTATTGTCTACACCGCTCGCCAGCTCGTCACCCCTACCATCAGCTCACTTCTTCCACACCCACAATCCTAAAAGTCAAAATTTGCCAACCTCCACCAATCGTCATCTCCACTTGAAACACACCTACAACCACACCCTCTCCGACATACCTTGACCTCTGAGACCAACCCCTACTCTCGTACTTACCGAACCTATATCTAGAAACCTTTTCCGTCGAAACAGCAGATTTTTGTCTAGTGGTCTTCACGCACCGAACGTCACCGAACTGTCTAATAAAGTCGAATAGTACTACGCGCAGAATAGCTCCCTTATTTCGCCCCAGTTTCCGTCAGGCTCTCCTACCGCGTACCTATTGAATATAATAAACCAACGCAAGGAATCGCGAGCCGCGGAATACAACAGTACTTATTGTAAAGGTTTAACTAGTTTAATTAGACGATAAGTGTAAAACTTGCCGAGACATTTTCAAACCCAACCAAATTGATTTGCGTGATTAGTTTGACGCAGACCGCCGTTCCACTAAAAGTCGTCAGTCACACGATACGCGAACGGTACATCGTTCCATCGTTATGTACTCCGACTTGTACGGTATACTGGAGCTTTCGCTCATCCCCGCTCTGTTTTCGAACTTTTCGTTTTTGTAACATTAGCGTCATTGCCGGCCTGGCTCTGCTTTATAAGTTCGTTAACAGTGTCTTCGCATACACGATTCTCTTATTCTCTGGTCGCTTAGCCCTGACGTGACGTCAGGTACGCGAACGGTACAACGAAGAGACGGTTAATTACACGTTCTTCGAAGGCAATGGTGAATCTAAGATCGGTGCGATAATCGAAGTTACTTAACCCTTTCGCTGCTAAATTATCGAAAATTGTCCCGCACTCTACTGTTTGTGCCTTTTGGTACACTTTCAGCTTAATTTAATCCCTCATTTTGCCCTTTGCGCACTTCCACCTTGATTCAGTAAAATTAACAAATTTTTAATTAATTAATTTGAACGTGTAAAAATTGTGTAGGGATGACCGAGCGTGAGTGCGTTGTTTTTATGAATGCGTTGCCTGTGTGAATGCGTGAGGGTCTATGACCGGAGCAGTAAGGACCGGCGTGCCAGGTCGAGTGTTTGGGATAGCGCGAAAGATATTGAACGAATGTTTAGTTTTAGTAATCAGGCGAGGAGTGCGTGAGTGCGTGTGTGTTTTCTTCTAACGAAAAGTGTGCATGTATGCAAGATGACATTAGGGCGAATGCGAGGGAGCGAAAGGCAGAATGTAATTTTAAAAGTTTGTAAAAATTTCAAAACGCAGAAACGAAAGATTTCGCCTGCAACTGCCTTTCGCAGCGAAAGGGTTAAGTGCACACGTGACAATCGTAAATTCCCGCTGTTTCTTCGTCGGGAACCTCGATTTCACTGGAAAAAGCGAGTGAAGAAGAAAACGAATGGCGGTTCGTTGGGGGAAATAATCAGAAATCCGGCGACACGAGCGTGGATGGATTTTTATTTTATACGCTTATACAACGAGTGCAATAACGTGGCGGTATTTTATCGGAAGAAAACACGGTGAAATATATACAAGAAATGAAACGAAAGCAGAAAATTACGAGCGTTATGAATGTGAAAAAGAAAAGTAGCGATCTATGAAACGCGCCGCTCCGCTCGTCGATACAATAAAGTCGTTTTAATACAGCAACAAAATACGGCTATCAAGTTTTTTGTTTAGTTAACAAATACAAAAAAAAAAAAACGAGGGAAAGAAAAATCCACCCTGTATTTCTCTGGAACAAAAACAAAAAAAGAGGAAAAAAAAAGAGAGAAAAATATAGCGAACAAGCTTGAAGCAGAACGAGCGTGGGTTATTCAATACAGTTTGAACCGCGCGCGTACTATGCCTGTCGATCTCTCCTAAATAATTTAAACGGAGGTCGTTGAACCGCGGCAGAAACAAAAAAAAAAAAGAGAAGGAAAAAAATTGCATGTAACGCGAGCGCGTTAATTTCGCGGGATATATTGCACGCAAATAACCGAGGCAAATAACAAATTTCGGAATTTTTCATATGGCCCACATTTCCCGTTCGCGGAATCTCAGTCGCGGTCGATCGAATTTCCATTGTGAATCGCTCGTGAAAATCAAATCGCACCTGTTTCCAGTGCGTCTCAATTACTCGCATAAAAAATGATTCTCTACAAAAATATACAGTGCTTCCTCGAAAAACGCGGATTTTAAGGACTCGGAGATTGTCTTTGTAGATGGTAATTAGCGCTGTTGGAAACCAGCCCTAAGTGGATCCTACGTCTTCGCGAAAAACTGAAGAACATTTATATATAAGATACGCGTACACGCTTCTTGATTCTTGGTTGCTCCTTTTATTGCACCCCTTGATGGCTTGAGGACTCGAAGCAGGGAAAAACGAGACCAGGATCGACGCAAGAGTTTTCGATAGTTACCTTCACCGTCAAATTTATTATTCAATGTTAACTAGACCATATGTTTCCGCTGTTACGATACTTAGCAATAAACGATAAACAAGTTCTTCCAGCTCGCAGCGACGAAATGGTCCTTCGATTTTTCTCCTAAGTTCGGTTGTTCGTTATGTACGGCAGGACCCCGTATAACGCGAGAAAAAGATTGCTACTGCCCCCACATGACGCGATGAGAAACGAAAAAGAACATACAAATTCTGAATTCGTAATTTTTGGTTAGTCAAATTTGACCGAAAAATCGAGGTAGCTAGAACTTAATTTGAATTTCCCGCGTTACAGTGGGTCCTACCGTATTTGAATTCGGCGTCACTGCTTATCGTATGCAGGGACAAATTGTGAGGAATTAGTTCACATTTCTCTTATTCGCCAGGATGATGAAAATTGCGAAAGTATGCTAAATATGCAATTGATTCGAAATTAAAAAAGAAACCGCGTTGTTCGAGGGAGCACTGTATATATGTATACCAGCAAACATTTTGTACGTTTGGTAAATTCGTCGGCGAAGAACGGTGTCGAAACGTGAAGAAGAGACCGCACGAAGCTACCCCGTTCGACCCCACGTGACGTGACACCGCGTCAGAAATAAGTTCACGCGAGATTTCCATGCTTTATTCACCAGTTGCTCGTAAGCTGCACACACCGCTTACCAGAAGCGCGTGCACGTGCCACGCCGGGTCCATTCACCAGCCCGTAAACACGTCCGTCAATCTTTCGTTGCCCCCAAGTCGGATTAATGTACGCCGAACGAAATGGTCTTTTACGCATGCTAATGTGAATTTTCCGGCGTGGGCTGAGTAGAATCGAGGTCCTACGAATCCACCACGAAGCACACGCACGGTCGAACGACGTATTACGGACACTAATGTATGTAAATGGAAGGAATGGAATTTGGAATAAATTCACCGGCGAATTCAGCATTTTTTCGCTATGTTGGTAATACGAATTGTCGGAGATATATCGAAATTTTAGCGGGATTTTTTTTTAACGAATTCAGATGGGAATTTTTACGAGGTATATAAAACAGGAGAGTGATTTGTTAAGTGATTTCGACGGTGTTAAAGAGAGAGTATCGTGTCCATGAAGCGACGATTTATACAGTTGTTCCGAGACATCGAAGCCTAATGACTCGCGGAAATCATCCGATCGTGAAACATAGCAGAGCGGCTGGATACCACGGAGAATCACTTTCACTCCCTTTTTTGCGACTCGCGAGAGTCCGCTCAACGTGCTGCGTCGCTTAATTAACGTGTACGGGAAGAAGAGATAGGTAGGAGTTGTGAAAACGAGATACGAAAAACGCGGGGTTTTCAACGCGGTAACACGCTGCACCGAACGCGGAAAAGTAATTCAAAGTGCGGTAGGCAGAAGTTCATTTTCGTCTTCACGTTGAAAAGGAAGTTTGCGACGAGACAAAGATCGAAGGTCTCGTGGAACGCTCGAATATTTCGTAGTATTACGAACAGGCTTAATTATTAACTTACAAAATATCTTGTCGGTTTTCGTTATATCGCAATTATCGAGGAAAATTTGATTCACTTACGAATAATTTGGTGAAAATAAATTTGACGTAAAAATCACCATATTGTACTTACGAACATTCAGCAATGGCAGTTCTAACGGTCCACGTTCCGCACGGCGGATTCCCGGCACGGGCCATTCGAATTGTTTGCAAAGCCGCACGAACGATCGCCTGTATCGTGGGCAGCTAATAAGAGCAATAACGCGGACCAGAATCCTCCTGCACTCGTTCGCCGTTACTCGCCAAGCGTTAAAACCATTCACCACACTTCCCCTGCGTTACATTTTACCGTCGACTCGTTCGATTCCCGATTCCCCGGCGTTACATGCGAACTGATCACGTGACCGGTCCATATTCACAACAGGGAACGTGTAGAGATGGCGAGAGAAAAAGGGAATTTTATTATACCGTGGCTGAATCGATGCCCGATTCTCTACGTGCACCAATATTCGCGTTTTACGACTGAACGGCCGTGACATTTCGTACGAAAAATCGTACACACACAGCACCGTGGAAATTGCCTCGTGCACGATTATTAAAATTTGTCCGGTACGACCGCGCCAAAACAGAGGAACGGTGGATTCCGAGAATCCGACCGAAGCTAGTTCGTGCTACGCAAAAACTAGCTTCGTTCTTATCGTTCCGAGAATTCTAAATGAAAACAACACCGAGCCGTAGCCAGCTCGCCCTTATTCCTTCGTGTATAGGGACGTCAAGGTTGTACGAATTTGTATCATAGGCTGTATACACGCACGCACGTTCGAGAGGGGAGAGAAGGTCGCGATGTTTTTGCGCGGGTCTGTGTACTGATCGTACGTGAACCGCGCACATGGCAGCCAACACCACGCACCGGGTATTTTTCTTCTTAATTAACGTTACTAATCGACGATGAAATATCACTTTACGTACCTTTGTGTCCCTGGACGTGTGATAGTAGTAAACAAAGGCAAACATCCACGCGCATGACAGCAGCAACACAATTTTTACATTTCGCCGCATCTCTGTCGTGTGTCTCGTCAGTCTCGCCCCTCGTCCACGCGTCCCCTCGACGATTTCCTCTCCCCCTCGCACACGTCCACGTTTCACGAGTGGTGTCTCGTTCGGAGAAAACGTAGCACGCACACCCGCGTACGACAACGCACCGTAACACCGTGGAACAACACCACCAACGCGAACGAACCGGCAGCCGAAGCCATACTGTTCGGCTTCGACGAGAACGGCGGCTATGCAGTCACTCAGAACGCGTCGTTGCTTCTGAATCCCCACGCCAGGCGGCGCGACACTCGCCACTACCGACGCCCACTGGCCTCTTTGGCGCCGAATTTCGAATTGCACAAGTGGCCCGCGTTCAGATTCTTGCCCCGGTTTCATGCTGACCTCTCTTTGCCAAGCTACGCAACTGCTTCGGCTGTTTTCGAGCGATGTGGAGATAAAGCACAGCTTTTAATAGAACGGTGTAATTTTATATCAGCACTTTCCAGAGAATAAATCGATGTCTTTTATTAATACCACTTGTTTTTTTCCCTTTTTACTCCTGCTTCGAAAATACCGTTCGTGGAAATCACTGTAACCGTAGAAGGTTACACAAATGGTAAAATGCTTCGTTTTTTATTTAAATGTGAAAGGGAATGGAGCGAAACAAAGGATTGAAATACGTTTGAAAATGATATGCTACAATAGGTAGCACGTCCGATGTTACGCGCGTGAAATGATTAAATATACATTTTACAATTAATTGTAAAATAAAATACGTGTTTGCTACCTTTTTACCCTTTCCCTCGTTTCACCTCCTTCAAAGAGGGTCCTTTCTAAGCATATTTTTAAGGAAGAAAGAAAGATTGTTTTAAAAAGAACGCAGGAAATTTACACGAAAATTAGAGCAAATTCGATGTGTAACGCAAACGTGTCACGTTGGAGGTGTAACCGATATTGGGTGGACCTTGATAAGTGGTTCGAAATACGCCCACTTTTAACCGAAGATATCCCTCGTTTCCGTTCATTCGATGCAGTTTACGGGGAACTTTTCGACGAAGAGGTTCGCGTACAGCATCCGGCAGGAGATGCTACAATAAAATTCGATCCAATACGGTTGGAAAGACTCCGCTGACATGGCCACGGGATCACGATGGCTGCTGCTGTTGACTTGCTTGGGATTCTGCACGGCGTGGATGGACGAGAGGTCTGGAGAACGCAATTTCCGCCAGATCCGATCTCTCCGCCGAGAGAAAAAGAAACTTTCCGCAGGTGGAAACGTTGCATATAACGTAATTTTTAACGCGTTTCAGGCCTGTGCTGGAGTCTAGAGACGGAAATCTGTTCATTTCCGCCGCGAAGGACAGGAACATCACCCTGAAGATCCTCGGGGACGGTTACGTGAACGTGAACGAAATTAATTTGCTCCATGTCGCGGAAACGGTACCGCAGCAGTCTCTTCTTCTTCCCGAAAAAATCGTCCTGGTAGCTCGAAGATTCACGTCGATTCACTTTCAGGCGGACAGAGCGACGCGTTTGATCGAGAGATGGAAAACCGGATATCTGGCCGAGGTAGAATCGAATCTACAGCGGTTGATGCAAATTGTGGAGGGACCGGAAGGTTTGGAAAGAAGAGTAGCCACGATCAAAGGCTTCGGAGATGGGAATAGCACGTTTCAACCGGAAAACTTGCCGAAGAATCAGGTAAGCTCTTCTAGAGCGAAAGATCATTCTGAAAGCGTTGATGTCCGATTTCGTTTGTCGTTTGCAGTCTAACGCGGGGATGAACACCAAGATGCGCATGGTTGTTCACCGGGTAAGTACGGAAGAGCTGATTAAACGAAACGAACAGGTAATTGGTGAGATTTGTTCTTTAGATACGACACGTGGAGGACAAAGTGAAGTCGATAGAGGCGAAGTTGAAGATAAACGAGTGCAGTAGCAATCCTTGTATGAACGGTGGCTCGTGCCAGGACCTTTACGAAGGATACCAGTGCCATTGTCCGTCGAATTGGGAGGTGAATTATAAAATATTCATTATTTCCCCTCCTTCTCCACCGTCGATCAATTTTCACGGTGCAATTTTAGGGACCAAATTGCATGGTGGACGTGAACGAGTGCGTTCGATTGTTGGGTACAGACCTTGGATGCCAAAATGGAGCTACTTGTCACAATATTCCAGGATCATACAGGTTTCCAACATTTCCTACATTTATTCAGAAATATTCACGTCACTTCTGCTCCAATTTTCAACGCTTATTCGCTTAATTTTAATTATGTCAGATGCGACTGCGCTCCAGGATGGTTCGGTCTTCATTGCACAACGAAGAAGTCCGTTTGCAGTACCGAAAACTCTGACGAACTCTGTGGCCACGGTGTCTGCGTCGCAACCGGTTCAACACTCGGTTACACGTGCATCTGTGACCAAGTACATCACTGGACGCTAATTTCGAGATGTAGAATAAATTAATGGCCAATTGGAATGAGGAAAATGTTGCGTTCTTCCAGGGTTGGCAAGCGGATGGTACCAATCCAGCCTGCATTAAAGATGTGGACGAGTGTGCCGGAAACCATCGGCCATGTTCCGTGAACCCTTGGGTCGCCTGTCGCAACGCTCCTGGCACATTCTTCTGCGACGCCTGTCCTCGTGGGTATACAGGAAACGGCTACTATTGCACTGACATAGACGAGTGTCAGCAAGACAACGGAGGCTGTAGCACGTCTCCCAGAGTTCAATGCATCAATACGATGGTAATGTAGAAAATTCAGCGTAATTGTAACAGTGGCGACAGCGATCCGTGGAGTCGCATTTCAAACTTTCAAAATTTCCAACTATCAAGCTTGCAAAATATCAAAATTTCAAAATTTCAAACTTTCGAACAGGGTTCCAGAATGTGCGGTGCCTGTCCCACAGGATACCGTGGCGACGGTGTAACCTGCATCTACGTCGGTTCCTGCGCGATCAACAACGGCGGCTGTCATCCATTAGCCACGTGCGTCGAGAATCCAGCTCTCACCAGTGCCTACGTGATTTGTCGTTGTCCGAATAATATGGTGGGCGATGGAGTCGGTCCAAACGGTTGTCAGAAATCCGGAGAAGTCTCTACGGTAGCCTGCCCCAGTAATCGCTGTGTGCACGGCAGCTGCGTTCTTGCGCCCCACACGAACGATTATATCTGCCTGTGCAATTTTGGATACACCGGTGAGAACGCTTCCTCCGATAATCACTCTTCCTTCTCTTTTCACTTCCTTCAATTTCTTCCAATTTCTTTCGTTGCTTCAGGAATGGCGTGCGACGTCTCGATAGACCCATGTTTCCCGAACCCCTGCAAGAATAACGGTGCCTGCCTAAATTCGAACGGTGCAGCAACTTGCGATTGCGGATCCTTGTACACAGGCAGCAGATGTGAAACACCGCGACAAACCTGTGGCGGTGTATCCAGGAATCCCGTGGGACATCTTCAGTTCCCGATAGCCGGGAACGTTTATCAGCACGGGCTGAGCTGTGCTTGGGTCCTCATCACCAACAGCTCGCTCGTGCTGAACGTCACGTTCTCCAAGTTCAACTTGGAGCAATCGATCGATTGCAAATACGATTTTCTCCAGGTACGCTACACAAGAGAACCTAGTCTCTACGCTTTTTTCTTCCAAATCGTCCAGATGTTTAACGTATCGTTCATTGGATACATTAGATACACGATGGAAAGAACGCAGGCAGCCAGATAATCGGCAGATTTTGCGGCAAGACTTTGCCCCATGAGAATGGAAGTATCGTGTCCTCCCACAATTCTCTGTACTTCTGGTTCCACTCTGATAACAGCATATCGCACGACGGATTCGCGTTTCACTGGAATAGCACCAAACCTGTTTGTGGCAGCACTTTGACGGGCGATTATGGTACGATCAGCTCTCCTGGATCACCGGGCAGGTATCCACCCGATAGAGATTGCTATTGGCAGATCAGTGTGCGATCCTCCAAGCGGATACAGATTCATTTCGGGCAGCTGATGCTCGAGGAGCATCCGAACTGCGACGCGGACTTCTTGAAAGTACGTACCGCGTGAAATTAACCCTTTACCTCGCGTTACTGTTATTTATTCGTGAAAAATCCAGTGTTTCAGCTAGTAATTGTAGATTAAGCGAAGCGATATTTACACAGATCTCTACTATACACGGTGAAACGCTGGGATTGTACTGTAATCACTCTCATCCAGCACCTCTGGTGGTACCATCCTCGAAAGCTGTCGTTTATTTCCACTCCGACAGCGCTGGTCAAGATGCCGGCTTCCAGATCCACTATTCCGCCATCGAAGGTGACAAAACGGCACATTAATTAGAAATAAATCGTTCCTCGACTGAGCTACTTTACACAATCACAATTGTTCCTTCAGGTACGCCAGGTTGTAACGGAGTATACACTAAACCTTCCGGTACTATCAGCAGCCCTGAAAACCTAGATACGGACGGAGAGATAGAGTGCGAATGGAAGATCCAAATGCCCGTTGGTGAACGGATAGTAATAACCTGGTCCGGTTTCTCCTTATCTGGTGCTAATTGTCAAAACGAGAATATCGAGGTACCTCCACATATCTCTCATTTTTCAGCATAGATCGAGATCTAAACTACGTGAAAAATCCTTCGTTTCTACCAGATTTACGACGGAGATTCCAGCGAGTCTCCCTTGATAGAACGATACTGCGGCACCAACATTCCACCTGTCGTCAGATCGAACTCGAACACTTTGCTGATCATCTTCAAGTCGAAACTTTCGGCGAAAGGCGTGTTCTCCCTGACGTACAACGTTCTCTGCGGCGGTGTGTTCACCGAGGATAACGGTATCATCGAGTCACCTGGATACCCGAGCACGACCCACCCTAACAAACTGTGCGTCTACGAGATCAAGCCATCGAAGAACAAAAGGATCGTCTTGCATATGCTGGACGTGGACATTCCAGGACTAAGTAACACCGACTGCGACTACGTGTATCTGAGCGTGTACGACGGACCGAACGAGAACTCTCGGCGTTTGGATAAAATCTGCACCTCGGCGAGTGTCACGGGTGGGCCCGACCGGACGTATTACTCCACGCACAATTTCATGTTCCTCAAATACTCGTCCACGGAGGGTTCCGGGGGACGCGGCTTCCAGGCGAACTACACGACAATTCCGACCAGTAGGTGGAATTTCTCGCAGAGAAAGTCATTTCCATTGTTAACACTAGGTTTACGGACATTTCTTATATACCTATAGCTACAGACACGCGTCAAATTGACCGCATATTTTCTTTAAAGGGAAACTTATTTTATTTAAAAACAACGTATTATGCACTATTGTGAAATTCGAAATCCGTCAAAATGACGCGTCCCGTAAACCTAGCGCTGGAGAAACTCTTCCTTCGCTTTACCTCCCTCCTGTCACCTCACAGACACGTTGTTTCTGAATTTTCCACCGAAATTTGCAAATTTTGAAAAAAGATTCTCGGCAGGTCGGCAGCTCGACGCAGCTTCCGTGCCAGTCGATCTCTGTCTCTTTCACAAACCTCTTCCTGTGCCTTTTAAAAACCACGTTGGAAGAGACTGAAACGTTTACGATACTGTGCTTAATATTCAGCGATGCTGCGTCTAATTAGAGATCGATCTGTTTGAAAGGATGCGGAGGAATAAGCACAGAGTTGACTGGAACGATCCAGACACCGTTAAAAGGCGGCTACTACGAACAAGACATAGATTGCATCTGGACGTTGCAAGCTCCAAGAGGACACGTGGTTCAGCTGACCTTCTTGTCGTTTAATCTGGAGCAGAACATACGTTGCCGGCACGACTACGTGATGATCTACGAGACCCAGGGACCCGACATAGTCGTGATAGGAACGTACGTAACGAACTACCTTTCCGAATCTAAGCTTGAATTCTGTATTCACCGAATCATTCGATAAACGTGCGATTAAATGTGACAGTTACTGCGGATCGAAGACACCGCCGATAATAATGACACAAGGGAGCACCATGAACGTGGCTTTCCATTCCGATTCGTCCATCAACCGCGAAGGATTCATCGCTACTTATCTCTTCATCGACGCGACCAAAGTCTGCGGCGGTCACTACGTGAAAATGACCGGCGTGATTAGGACGCCGAATTATCCCGAGCGTTATCCCGGTAGAAAGGACTGCGAGTGGATAATCGAAGCACCGAATAGACAGAGGATCATTCTCAACGTGAAGAAGTTCGATTTGGAGGAACACTCTAACTGTATATTCGACTACCTGGAAATTAGGTGAATTTTGTATATCTAGATTAGGGAGTAATGGTAAGAGTGGAAAACAGTCCGGGATAATTTCGTCGAATTTTATCGAAATTTGTAGAAATGGTGGCTACGATACGTCGCCGTTGATCGGGAAATTCTGTGGAACTGTCATACCCACAGAAATTGTAAGTCAGACGAATCAATTGTACCTGAAGTTCGTGTCTGATCCGACTGGATCGCATACTGGATTCGACATCGAATGGGACAGCACGACGTCTGGTAAACGAGGAAATATACTCCTTAACGCGTTCGCTACCAAGCGTCAATTCTTTACATCTCAATCTAAAACGTCATAAAAATTGCACAGTTTGAGTATCACGTGAAACTGATAGAAATACAGATGTTAAGAGTGTAAATCGCGGTAATTCGAAGGATAAGGGACGTTGCTTGAACAGAACGACGGTAGCGAACGCGTTGAGAGATACCATTTGGAATAGTTAGTTGAAAGAATTGTTTGAAATGTCTCAGGTTGCGGTGGCACTTTGACTGCCGCGTACGGCGATATCATTTCGCCGAATTATCCGCACATGTACAGCCAGCTAGCTGACTGTTACTGGAAGATCGCGGTGGCGGAGGGCAGTTGGATTCGATTGTTAATAATCGACCTGCAGCTGGAAGAACAGGACAAGTGTAGATTCGACTACATGGAGATATCCGAGGGTATCGATCGCCGTAACAGCGAGAGATACTGCACCAGTCCTTATCCAAAACTCATTCAGAAGAACTCGAACGTAGTGAACATTCGGTTCCGCAGCGACTTTACGAATTCCGGTCGCGGTTTCCATCTGAAGTATGAAACACGTGAGTCGATTCCCTCAGCGGCCGCATTAAACTTTGCTCCCGTTAAATGAATCCCGGTATTGACCTATCTGCATCACTCATTCCCTCCAATTCTACCTTCTCTCCCTCTCTCTCTCTCTCTCTCTTCGTTATGAAGAACACCCAAATTTTTAACGATCTATCAAATTTCGATCTACTTCTACAATTATTTAACCAGAGAATATATTAATCACGAAGGACACCGAAATTTTCCATTTAACGATCTACCTCTACACCGAAAAAATGAACAGATTTCTCTAATATCCCGACGATTCTTCCTCGACAGTATGTGAAAACAGGGTGCACGGTTTCCACGGCGTGATAGAGTCGCCTAATTTCCCGAACAAGTACGAGCACAATCTGAACTGCACCTGGACAATCGAGGCGCCTGTCGGCAACGCGATCAACCTGACCTTCTCTCACTTCGACCTGGAGACTTCTGGCACTCAAAATGCCTGCAAGTACGATTACCTGCAGGTGAACGAGGGCGAGGACAAAGACCATCAGACCGAATTGGCGACGTTCTGCGACACGGATGTTCTTCCACCGCGGATTCACTCGTCGAAGCATCTGGTGTTCGTCAGATTCGTCACAGACTCTATGATAGCGTTCAACGGATTCCGTCTCGAGTGGGTGGTAGACGGTTGTGGCGGACACCTGACCAGGCCTTTCGACGAGTTCACGTCGCCTGGATATCCGAACTCCTATCCGAAGAACATCGATTGCGAGTGGCTGATCGAGGTCGATTACGCTCACAGCATAGAGCTGACTATCCACGACGTTAGTATACCACGGAATAAGATTCCTTCCACGAAACGATCACCTGCTGGAGGAAAACGTACCACGTGTATGCGGTTTTCAGATAAACATCGAGAGGCAGAAGGGCTGTTACTACGACAAGCTTCAAATCTACAGCGGCGAGAACGACGCGGCACCGTTGCTAATCGAGCTGTGCTACTCCAGCAAACCGATAGTGTACACCAGCTTCGGGAACAAGATGTTCGTTAAATTCCACTCCGACATATCGTACTCGGCACGTGGATTCAACGCTAGCTACAAAAGCGTGCCTGTCACCTGCGGCGGTAAATACACCGCAGACACGGGGGTGCTATACTCGACGAATTATCCACAGAACTATCCTCACAAACAGAACTGCGAGTGGTTCTTGCAGGTGGATCAGAATTACGTGGTTAATCTGACCTTCACCGACTTCGACATCGAGGACACGAAGAACTGCACAGACGATTACGTCGAGGTTTCAAGATAAACGAATAGACAAGCTTATTTCTATCGGAGAAGAGAGGCTGATTCCTGTTTTTCTTGCGCAGATATACGACGGTCCAACCAAGGAGTCGCCGTTAATAGCTAGACATTGTCGAAACCAGTTACCACCGTCTTACGTTTCGTCTGGAAACGAGATGTTAGTGGTGATGAGGACAGACAGTATACTGGCAGCGAAAGGATTCTACGCGGAATATACCAAGTCCTGTGGCGCTCGTATCATCGTGAGGGATAACGGTTACATCAGTCCGATAGAAAGTTACACCGGCAAGTTGAACGAGAATCCGAATTGCACTTGGATATTGATCGCCGAGGATCCAGGTGAATTTTCTATTAGACGAGCATAGTTTTATTTCTGAACACCCTTTGTTTTTCACACTCGCTCTTGCAATCCTCTTTTCTCTCTTCGCTCTTCCCTTTCATTCTCGCTCACACACCGTCACGTTTTGTCACAGATTTCTACACCCATTCACACACCCTTCGTCAACGATTTTCGGTTAAGATTTCTTATCACTCGTGCATTTTCATTCAGGAGAACTGTCACTCGGTCCGAACAATCCACACTCGCACGATTCGACGGTCATCAGGCCCAAACATTCTTATGTCACATCCTACACGCACACACGTTCGGTTAATTGAAATGTTTGAATTTTCTTCTTTTTATCGCGACAGCCGATCACGTCACCGTAACGTTCACTCATATGGAGATAGTGGTGGACGGACTAGGCTGGGACAATGACTGCTCTTGGAACTACATAGAAGTTTTCGAAGGGCAGGGTTCCGATGGGCCGTCTCGTGGCAAATGCTGCGATAACGTTGTGCCGTTGCCGATAACCAGCTCCGGGAATGCACTCACCGTGCATTTGTACGCAAGTTACGACTTCTTTGGACACTTTGCGTTCACCTATTCGGTGCTAAATTCAGGTAAACGACGCGACCGCTCTTTTTTTATCGCACCCCGTTCACGGTATCTGTCTAGGGAGAGAACTTGCTCGCTCGCATCTCGATATTGGAAAGAAGTTGTCGCGAGACACGTCGCGCGTTTATTCTTAACGTTACATTTAACGTGCAAGAATTATTACACACGATAGATAAAGCGTGTTAACGCTGTTTCGTAACGACGGAAAGCGAATTTTAATATCGAATCACATTCCGTTTGCCCTTTCGAATCCGTAATTCTTATCGATCTTACTGCAGCATGCGGCGGTACGTACACCTCGTATCAGGGAAAGATCGCCTCGCCAGGCTATCCTAACACCTATCCGTTGAACACCGAGTGCATCTGGATCATAAAGAACTCACCTGGGAATAAGCTCAGCCTGACGTTCTCCGAGTTCGAGCTGCAGCAGAGCGAAAATTGCGACTTGGATTATCTGGAGATACGCGAGGACAGCGGAATTGGCAAGCTGATAGCCACAGCTTGCGGGACAGACGTGAACCCGGTGCAAACTGGCGCTACGCTCTGGATGAAGTTCAAGAGCGACGGTGACGACGTGGGCAAAGGTTTTGTGGCTGAGTTCAAGGTGGTAGGTGGTAACGAGCTCAGTGCACCTACCGGAAGGATAACCTCTCCTCTTTACCCGATTCCCTACAAAACTAGAGAAGTTATAACGTGGAGAATCGCGGTGAAGTTTGGATGGGTGATTCGAATCGACATCACGGACATATTCATCGAGGACATGCAGGAAGAAGGATGCTTCTCCTATCTTAGAGTTAGTACTTGTCGCTTAGATATCTGTTCTTTCGAGTCGTAGAAAATGACGAGAGATTCTGTGGACAGGTGTACGACGGCTACGACAAAGAGGCGCCTATTTTATTGGAAACCTGTGGTATGACCATTCCTGAGCCCATCACGACGAGCAGCAACATTGCCTTCGTCGAACTGTCTACCGAAATTATGCGACAGGGAAGCTGGTTCGATTTAACTTGGCTTCAGATACCCAGAGAAACCGAGAGTTACGAGCAAGACGATATTATATGTAAGTTCTCGTCGATCCTATCGAGTGAAACACTTCGTGTTATCCATGATCGTGTCTCGTCGCACAGTGTCAGAATGCAACAAGGAAGTGGCTCTAATGGGAATCCATAACGCGACCTGCGAATTCACGTCACCTGGCTATCCAAACGGCTACGATAACAACGTCCATTGTGTCTGGGTGTTCACATCTCCACCTGGTACTCACCTGGTGCTCAGGATACTCGCGATGGACCTGGAGGAGTCTTCCAACTGCTTCGCAGACTCCGTCACCGTTTATTCCGGCAATGCTGCAATGAGCCAAAATAACGCCGAATTGGTGCAACAATTGTGTCTGTCGAACTCCACTGCCGCTTTGATCAAGGCGGGTAACGTGATGACAGTGAAGTTCGACTCTGACAGTTACATCAACGGAACTGGCTTCAGCGCGTACGTCCATCGAGGTACGGTGATTTAGAAATGTTTCACAGACGAACAGCGAATTCTTCTGTTTCCCACTTCAATCCTTGTGCGATCGTCAGACCAAGTTGCTCAACGTTTCTCTCTTAGAGTGCGGTGGTAAGCTGCAAGGTCCGAACGGAGTGATCGAGATCAATAACATAACCGTGGATAGAACAGCTCGTAGCTGGCAGGTGCTTTGCGAGTGGGTCGTCGACGTGAGACCTGGACGAATGATAGAAGTGAAAATCGTTCAGATGTCGATACAGCAAGGTCCCAGTTGGACGTGCACTGCTAACTATCTAATGGTAAACTTGAAGAACTGTGCGAAAATACCGGGTTTTCAAGCGTGTAATCTCATTCCACGGAAATTTGTCTTCGTTACAGTTGAAGAACGGCGGTGAGAAAACGTCTCCTTTGCTCGGAGCGGGTAAATACTGCGGCAACGTGATACCAGCGCCGCTTCAAACAACCGGAAATCGACTCTACGTGAAGGCTCTGGGCATTCGATCGAACATCAACTTCAAATTAACATACAGGTGATAATTGTCGATCGATCCTTCGATATTTAACATCGCACCATTGTCGAACCCGTTCGATCTTTCAGAGAAGTGAGCACGAATTGCGGTGGCGAGTTCGTACTGTCCAAACAGCAGACAGAATGGGAGATTAAAACACCGAATTACCCTAACATCCCTCCGCCGTACTCCGAGTGCACTTGGACAGTGATGTCCCCCGGTAAAGAGAGAATAACCCTTCATTTCGTCGATAGATTCGACCTGAGTTACACCATAGAGTGAGTCTCGTACCTTCCGGTAATTTCAATTAATCAAATCGGCGAAATTGCGAGAGCAATAAGGGGACGAGAAATATTTCAGCTGCGAGAAGGAGTACGTCGAAGTGAGAGACGGCGGAACGGACAGTTCCAAGTTGATTGGACGATACTGCACGGACGTTGCACCAAGTAGCATAGCTAGCACCGGAAATATGATGTACGTCCATTTCTACACGGATATTCCGGAGCCGAAGAACGGTTTCAAAGCGGTGTTCAGTATTCAAGGTTCGTTTCCAAATCTTCTGTCTTCTCCTAATCAACGGACCAAAATATAAGGTTCCATTCCCTCGGAAACTTTTCGAATTCGATCCTTTCTCCGACAGACTCTTGCGGTGGAACGGAGAGAGCAACATCCGGTCTCATTTCATCGCCAAATTATCCGTTCTTCTATCCGAAGAATCAGACCTGCGTTTGGTTCATAAACGCCCCGGTCGATCACACGTTGAAATTGACCTTCCTCGACATCCACTTGCCTGGCTATCGGCGTTGCAAAAGCATCGATCATGTGGAGATCAGCGAGATTCTGCCAGGAAACGATACCAGTGAGTCGAGACAAACGTACAGATCAAATTTCAACCAACTTTCTCTCACGTTTCTTTCGTCTTCAGAGTCTCTAATTGGAATGTACTGCGGCCTGACACCGGCTACCGTGGAAACTTCTTCCAATCAAGCTGTGGTCACTTTCCACAGCGATAATTTCGAGAGCGCGGTCTACAGAGGCTTCACGATGACGTTCCAAGCCAGCCAAGAAGGTACTCGCTACTTCGTTCAGTCGTTGACGAGAATAATTAAGAATTCGACGTCTGTTACAGTGTGCGGAGGCGAGTTCACCGCTATGGAGACAACGATCAAGTCGAACGGCTATCCTAACATCGCGACTCGTGCAAGGTACGAGATTAAACATTCACGATAAAGCTAAATCTCCTGTATTTCACGCTGTGTTACGTGTCATTCGACAGATACTGCGATTGGAGAATCAAGGTGCCGAAAGGATACCACGTGGTCGTTGAAATACTCGACTCAGACATCATGTCCCCCTCTGAAGCACGATTTGGTTATTCAGTAATGGTTGTTATTATTAATCCCAATTCTCTTCGCTTTTATCATCGCCGCTCTATGGTTGCGCAATTTATTTCATTTCTTTTCGCTCTCAGTTCTACAACGATCTACGGTTCAGATCCAGGATCAAGGTGCTGCAACCGAACATGACCGGGCAACTGATAAAAAGCTCCAGTAACACTATGATGATCGGTTATTACTCGTCTCCGGGCTATCGTGGATTCAAACTGCGTTACCGTGCTGAAGCACCTGCTCGTACGATTTTGACCAATTTTTTAACATATCTTTCAAGTTTCTCGGTGATTCAAGGATTATCGTCGATCTTTCAGCTTGCGGCGGGATCATAACCTCTGTGAAGGGTAAATTATCAGGTCCGACAGTTCGACCGTTCAACGAATCCTCCTATTACTGCCAGTGGGACGTGAAAGCACCTCAGAGCATGGTGAACAACACAAACAACACAGGATTGACGCTGTCGCTGTCGGTGACCGGCATGGTTGGCGGGCTGCGCGGCTACGCGTACACTAAATACTGCTACAATTATCAATACATCTCTCTGACTGGTAAGATTGACACACCTAGTTAACACATTGCGTAAATAGAGCGGAGAGGTAACGTGGCTTGATTTTTAAGGGCTCGGTATGATCTGCGGGAACTTCTCGGAACCGGTGTATCTGAGAAGTCCGAAGCTAATTAACGAGTTGATCGTAAGTACGCGAATGATAGTGTAGATTAACACTGTTGGACGGTGGTGCACGAACTTGTTCGTATGTTGCAGATAGTGAACAGCTCGCTGGGTAAACCGATGAATTTCACACTCCAGTACGAATGGCAGCCCTGCGGTGGTATTCTTCAAGAATTGTCGAACGTTATAAACCCGCCTAAGAACGTGTCTTATCCTATCAATTGCGTCTGGCACGCTAATTACCCGGACAACGGGGAAATGATTAAGCTGCACTTCAACAGGCTGCATTTAGGTGGCTGCGACAAGAATTACATCAGCGTCAGGTACTCCTAATCGAGCTAAACGTCCTCCGAAACGTCCTCTATCTCGTTTTCGATGCTTCTCTCAGGAACGGTGGACCGAACTCGCCGGAGATAGGCAAATTCTGCGGTAACGTTCAGCCGTACAACATAACCAGCACGTCGAACCAGCTGTGGATCGAGTACACCGCAGCGGAGGAACCGAACGACTTCGAGTTCGTTCTGGAACCGGCGAACAACGGATGCGGAGGCGCGCTACGCGGCACGAGCCGCGAGATCGCGTCGCCTAAGTAATTCAAAGCTCGATAACTCCGGCACGAAACAGGACCGGACAGATGTTTAACTCCGGGAAATTCACCGTTGATTACAGGTTCCCGTCGCAGTATCCGAACAACGCTGAATGCACCTGGGAAATAACCGCGTACAACGGCTACCACGTCGGCCTGGTGTTCGTCGATCGTTTTAATTTGGAGAGCAGCAACAACTGCGAGAAGGATTACGTGCAGGTGCGTGGAAAATTTGCATGGTAATGAGTTTCGCGGGATACGGTCGACTTTACCGTCCTGTTTGCGTGAATATTAACAGCGAAGCGCATGTTTGATGGTGTTATTGTCGCCGTTTCTAGCGGGAAACGCGGTGTAAAATTATCACCGGCCACCGTGCACGGACAGACGTAACTGTAATTTAAACGAACAGAGAGAAAGAGAAAAGATTCTACGTAGAATTGTATGTTTCGGGAAAGTACAGGCTTTCGATTGGGTGATGGAGACGAACGGATCAACGGGAGGAATGTGGAAGGACCTGGGCAAAGTTTGCGGGAGAAACACACCGAAGCCGTTAAATTCGACCAGCAATCGCATGAAAGTGATTTTCCACTCGAACGAGGCGATTCAGGGTGACGGATTCCGTGCAATTTGGAACGAAAATTGCGGTGGCATTTTCGACGTCACGTCCCACGTCAAGGTTATCCAATCACCCTCCTATCCTAATTTATATCGACCGAATATGTTCTGTAATTACACCCTATTGGCGCCTGACAAGGATATCATCGTGGAGTTCCTGTATTTCCAGCTTGAGCACAGTAATAACAATGAATCTCGTTTGATAAGAAACTCGTGAATTACGTGTACAACGTGTCTGACGAATTTAGGTAGGAAAGACTGTCATTTCGACAATTTGACGATCTCGGCAGTGGATCAATATTCGGTGGAGGATACTGTATGGTGCGGAGAGAACATGCCGCCTATTACCAGATCACTCGGCAGTATGGTAATCGTGTTCAGGACCGACAGATACATTCAACGAAATGGTTTCGTCTTCAAGTACTATCTCAACGGTAGATTGAAATGTCGTTATTAAAAAAAAAGAAGGAAAAGTCGACGAGTCGATCGTTCAACCTTCTCTCTTTTCTATTTCCTTCTTTGCAAAGAGTGCGGCGGAACCATGAGAGCTCCAGGAGAGATCAAGTCGTTGATGAACGGTGCGGAGTACTTCGGAGGAGTAAACTGCTTGTGGAAAATCGAAGCACCGCCGGACCAGAGTATCGTCCTTCGTTTCGAAAAATTCGAACTCGAGTACAGCTACAGGTACGTCGCGATCTCGAGCAATCTCGCGCAAATCACTCTCTGATGCTACGTGTATCTTGCACAGGTGCATATACGACAGCGTGAAAATCTTCGACGGTCCGGAGGAAGACGACGAGAAGAGGTTGGCTCTGTTCTGTGGAAACTTAACGGAGCAGCTGCAAATCGTGAAGTCTAACTCAAGTTCCATGGTGGTCCACTTCTACACGGACAATTCTCGCCATTTTGGCGGTTTCCTGGCGAAGGTGAATTTGTCGAACGAACAGTCAGAGCTTAGAATTTCATTAGAAACCGACGTTTCCATCTTACTTCGAATATTTCCCTCGTATCGCAGGTTCTATTCGTGAAGAGTGTCGAGGCAGGATGCGGAGGTACCATCGATCTAACCACCACTCAAAGTTACTCGTTCAGGACGCAGAAGGGTTCGACTTACGACAGCTTGGAAGACTGTCACTGGAACGTGATAGCAGACGCAGGAAAGAATATCAAGTTCACTATCAACAGTATAGACGTCAGAAATGCTACCAATAGAACAGCCCGTTCTGACAACAAGTGTACCGGCGATTATCTCGAAGTAAATCTGTCTAATTAACGAAACTCTGAGACGAGATAAGCTTGAAACTCAACTCATTTTCTATTTCGTTTAGGTTCGCGACGGAGGTGGTCCTTTTGCCGAGCTAATCGACAGATACTGCGGCAATCAAATTCCACGTCCTGTATTGTCCAGTACGAGGTCACTTTGGATACGATTCATGAGCGATGGCACGCTGGAAGGTGCTGGAATCACTGGAACGTTGGAAGTAGTAAACGGTGAAATAAATTAGACGTCGATTCGTTGCTCTACGTGAAATTCAGGATGCTTAATGGTCGATTTGATCGTTGCAGCGTTGTGCTCTGTAGCTCCTCATCTGAACAGCGAGAAGAAGCTCGTACTGACCTCGCCGAATTATCCGAATAATTACCAGCAAGGTACAAGGTGTCGTTGGCAGTTGCAGTCGTTCAAAAGCTCCATCGAGAGAATGAGGATACAGTTCTTGGACTTCGACATGCCCGAGTCTGGTACATGCGAGAACGACTTCCTTCAGATAACAGACGTACAGGTAATTCATTCGACACTTCTGCTTCCATCGAGATATTGTTAAAAACATAAATTCTTGTGTAGAATCGAAAGTACATCGACGAAGGATTCGGCGAGAATTTCATTTTGAATGGTCACAACCAGCAATCGTCCTACGGAGACGTAAGTTTGTACGATAAGATTTGATAGGATATTTAATTTCTTCTGTTCGTATAATTCACAGAGTTCGTATAATACTCCAAGCACCTCTTACAAATACTGCGGCAACAGTTTGCCTCACGATTACTACAGGTAACTACGAACTGTTCCATCAGAATTTACAGTGTTATTGTAAGTGTTTTCTTTCGAGACAGCTACAGCACAGAGATCGAGGTAATGTTCAACGGTATCACTCCTGGCCACAGAGGTTTCAAGCTCGAGTACAGTAGCGCCTCCTGCGATCGAAATTACACAGGTGAACAAGGACGAATAATCCACGAGAGCATCGACGACTGTTGGATGACGATCACAGCACCTCCGAATCACACAATCTCCCTTTATTTCAATCAGTTCATGATCTACGATCCGGAGATGTGCACGAAATCCGCGTTGCAAGCAAGTGTTTCCACATTTTCACGGATAACGTTCCGATTTCGAAATGTTGTCTCTATTTCACGTATTCACTTAGGTGTTCGACGGTGGTTTCAACGGCACGCTGACAGCGACGTTGTGCTCTACAGCGCTACCCAATCCTATTTTCAGTACCGAGAACAAGCTGAGTTTACATTCCTGGACTGAATGGCCCACTAGCTTCGAGTACTACGACATCACGTACACCACCACGGACAAAGGTATGAAAATGGTGCGAGTGTCGCGTTCGATATTACTCTATCGCGATCGGTGCGCTGTTTGAACGCTGCTACGGTTACGTTGCTCTATCAGCGTTTTAGAAAACAGATAAGACTTCTCGCCGAAGGAAAATAACGCGCGCGGGTGTACGTGTGGGAAATGTAAATAAGGACGAAGTGAGTGAAAACAATGAGTAGATCGATTGTATTTAACTGCGTTGCAAAATTCATCGGTGAGAACGCGTGTTACAAAATAACGAGATTTTAGAGGTAAACTTTTTTCTGGAATAGAATATTTCTTTGCTCTGCGGTGCACTTGAATTTGAATGACAGCGAAATTTTGGGCTTGCAAACACAGGGTGAACCGCTTAAGATTACTGGACAGTTCGAAATTTTTTAAGACGATTATACTACATTGTTTCTTTTTTGCCAAGTTCTCAAGATCACCTTCCAATTTTTCACAGGTAAACCTGTAATTTCTGAATTCACTTTTTAGCGGATGTTGAGACGAGTTCCTCGAGCATCTTTCTCTCAAATATATAAGTATCTATTCTTCAAACATGTGCTATAATCGTCCCAAAGACGAATTGCCATCGGTTTACTGGCAACAAGATAATCTAAGGTTCACCCCAACGTTTGCGCGATAATAATCGTGCAATAAATAAGTAATAACGATGGCCAGGTCGTGGATGCGGAGGTCGAATATACAATTACGCTGGATCGTTCTCGTCGCCCCTCTATCCGAACGAGTATCGCAACAGCACGGTGTGTACGTGGGACATTAGCGTGCCACGAAGTCTGAAACTGGTGCTGGAGTTCACGGTGTTCGACATCGGCACGAGGAACAACTGCAACCCGAACTTCAACAACGTGGAGATCTACGATGTCACGAAGACCGGGGAACTAGATCTGGCGAACATCTACTGTGGAGGGGTAATTTCATATCACGATCGTGATTAATCGCGATTACGACGTCTATTTTAGAAGCTAACGACGAGATTACGTTGAACTTTTTTTTCTTATTGTTGCTCGTAGGATGAGCCAGCGCCGTACCAAGCCACGAGTAACCGATTGGTCGTGAAATATATCTCGTCGATGAATAACGTTGGAACAGGTTGGAAAGCGACTTTCAAGGGTCAGGATAGCTAAGTCGAGACGAACGATTTACAAAAATATTTATTCTTCGTATATGTATGTACATTTCGGGTTCGACGCGGTGTATTTACGTTCGATAGATCTACTACAGTTTCAGGTCTATCGATCGTAGTAAGGTGAATAATTTTCGATAAAATTGCTATTTGTAAATAATACAACGTTTGCGTGACTCGTCGTGGATCCATATGAAATAAACGAGATTTAATACAACGTGGTGCTTTCTTATTGGTCGATGAATATCGACCGAGATACCGGAAACTTGAGAAATCGATAACGACGAACGCTGTTTGCTAGGGGGAAATTAATTTCACAATTCTCTTAATATCCGCGAATCGACGATGCGTGATCGATGATAAATGACATTTCAGAATGTCGCCAGAATAAAATACTCGAGCATCACGCCTCTTCCTCGTTAAATTCTTCGTTGTTCTCCTCTGCTGCTACCTTTGAACAGCCTCCCGCCTTTCCATTTACCGTCTTCACTTCGTCGACCACCGCAAATTGCTCCACCTCTTCGTCCTTTGGCACGTCCACTTCCTGCTCCACTTTCCTCGCCTTTTTCACATCTCGTTTCGACCTGCTCTTCTCAGCCTTCTTGTCTTTCTTCGATTTTGCCTTAGGCTCTTCCACTTTCAATTCCACTGGTACTTCCTCCACTTCCTCTACAGTGGTCTTCTTCTTCTTGTCATCCTTCGTCAATTTTCCAGATTTATCCGCGGTCCTGCCTTCGAACTTCTTCTTCGATTTCTTCTCACCCTCCAAGCTGCCCTCCTCCTCCGCGTTCGGTTTCTTCTCCTTCAATTTCTTGTCCTTCGGCTTCTTCGAGTCCTTCTGGCGCACCTCCTGCGCATCCACCGCGTACTTGCTCTTCTTCTTCGATTTATCCTTCGGCGACTCGTTCTTAGATTTACTCTTCACTTCGGCGTTCTCCTTCCCCTTCAATTTTTTATTTTTCGACTTCTGCCCTTTGCCAGATTCCTCGTTCACGGCGACACTCTCGGATTGACCCTCCGCCTTCTTCTCCTCGGGCTCGCTGTTCTTCCTCTTCCGCGACTGCACCTTCCTGCCATCGCCGACCTTCGATTTTCCCTCCCTGAAACAAGGAAATGGAGCACCGTGTAACGCAACGTAGTCGCGAAAAGTCCCCTCGAAAGCAAAGTCCATCGACCATGACGAAAGATAAGAGAGCGGAACGAGCGCAACAGCAATTGCGTAATTGTCGCCTAGACGAGTACAATTCGATGCAGTTAACTGCATCTCGTTGGAAAACTCACTTGGAATAAGCTACATCCTTGTTCCTCTTCTCGTGTCTGACCTTGTCGTCGACATCCTTGCCAGGTTTTTTCGCGAACGTCTCGGAGGCGAGCACCGTGACAAATAGGAGGACGGTTAACAGTAGCCAGATCCTGAAGAAACGCGGACAATAAAAGTAACGACTTGGCTAAATAACAAACAACGAACGGGGAATGTAACAAAGATATTTCTCTCACCGCATGTTTCTTCCTTCTCAGAGCAGATATCTCCAATTTCGATAGATTTCACGTTTATAGATCACCGTAGGTACGATCGAAACGAAGATCCAGCACAACACTGACTCCTATTCGCTTGCCCCCTTATATCTTATACGCGTCTCCGTTGATATCTCGATCAACACTCGTACACACTCTCTGGCTCTTCGATCGCGCTGCTTGCTGAACGTCCCGTGATATCTGTGTCGATATCAGCGTGAAATCAATCACCAATACGGCCACGAGTTCGTCGCGACGCGCAAAGTTCGAAGTACGAGAGTGGAGTGCTCGTGGTAGTTCAACGTATCTCGTGTTTTTAACCTAGAACAAGATCAATTTATCCAACACGCAACATCGTTCCTCTTCTCTTAGACGAATTTCTTCGTGCTTCTCTTATTTTTCTTCCAAATTTTTCTCCCCTTTACCGTTGCATCAGTCCGCTCCCCTCTCGTTTCGCTTCCACGAGACGCGATATTTAGGTCGGTCCGTATCTAATCTGTCTACTTGCCACCGCTGACGTCAGCCGAGCACTCAACGAAGTGCCGCACAGCGTAACAAACAAGTGTTGATTTCACAGGTAATCGCGAGGGAGGTCTCATCTCGTTCCACGTCTTTTGTCCGGTGAATTTTCGCGAAACGACCTTCGAGTACCACCTCCGGACGAAGAATTTCATTTCTTTCCGAGACTCGAACGATTTGTTCTCGCGTTTTGGCCTTCGGTAGGTGGTAGCGTAAACAAATTTCCGGTGAGATTGATCTAACCGCGGTTCTCGAGCTTGTTACGTGTTGCAGCGTGGTATTTTTGCTAAATTTACCGCGAATTTGAGCGTGGGAGGACAAGGAAATTGGTCTTCCACGGAAGTTCCAGGTTATTCTGGAGAAATTCAAGGTCGAGGCGCCAACGACGAAACGATGGACCACTGGCAGCAGGTTTCTACGTATTTTTCCAGACTGAAATGAAAGATCGAGCCGCCAGGGGGAAAATAAGCAAATGGAACGGGCTGTTTTGTTGCGTGTAAAGAAAAGAATCGTAAATCTAAGACCGACTATTATTGATACATCGGTTTTTACGATTCTGCACGTGTTTCTTGATTAAACAACCGGAGTTTCCGGTTATTACGGGAACGCAAACAGGTGTTTTACGAGGCGTCCGTAAATCTCGTCGATTTTCGTTGTTAACTATAGAACAAACGAGATATCGGACGATTTATTTTCTGCTATCTATTCAGATAAATCCGCTGAGTAATCCCGTCTTTTTCTCGCAGAATGTGTTTGTCCAGTAGAAATCGTTCGTTCGCATTTTCTCTTATCGTTCGATTGTTCTGTCTAGAGAAAAATACGCGCTTTCCTGGAATCTATCGGCGTCGTTAACGTATGACATTCTACGCGGTTTATTTTAAGGTCTACCTTGGATAATACAGCATGATCATCGTTATTGGTCGACTCGAGGGAAGAATTGTACAGCATTGACGCACGTGTAGAATCTCCTTACGAAATTTTTCACGAATTTCCGACAAAGGTTTCGCAATAATTAAAGAAAGCCAGTGTTTACTGAAATTATATGTAATTATATATTTTTTCATTTGTTTATACGTATATATACCTTATATACTCATAATAGTAAATTTATGCCATGGATTTCTCGGCGATCAATCGGTTCGTTTACAAAATGGCGTGGTTTTGCTTGAGAAAGATGTACTCTTTCTTTCATCTTTTCTTTTTTTGTCAGAGAACGTCCATGGACAATAACGATTTATCGAGATCTCGCGTCTGTTTCGCACAACCTGAGACAGATTCGACTTCGAAATTGAAAACGAAACGATCGTGATCGAATTTAATTAACAATGTTAGAATCGCGCCAGTGGCACACGAGGAGGAACGCGACAATGTACACGCAGACTGTGTTCGATTGGAAATAAAAGAGAGAATTTCTCTCCTTTTCTGCTCGTCCACGTGTACAGTTCGTGTTCGTTTTGTACGCGTATCAATGCGAGGGATCGTGTTCATTTTTTCCCAAGTTTTGCGCTGATTATTTCTTCTTCTTTTTCGCGCAACACTCGTTCGTCGTTAAAGGCTACGTTAAGTATTCACGTGTAACTTAAAGTGTACTTATAAATAACGAACAAAGAGAACAACGTGGCTTATCGTTATCGCATCTAACACGGCGCCAGTATAAAAATAATTAAAATTACAATACTTACAAAGATCGTCTCCTAGAGCTTTGTGTACCTTAACACGTATAATGGAATCGTTAAGTGTGTCGAGTGAAAAAGAAGACTCACCTCGAGAGAGAGCATATTTTTTCTCTTTTTTTCTTTTTGTTTAGTTTTCTGTCAAACACTCGTCCATTCTTTTCTAGATTTTCCGTGTTTCAATTTCAACGAAACGTGACTAGCAAATGTTCAAAAGTGGCGTAACAATGAAACCCGCAGAAAATAAGTACTATTTATGTAAGTACGCTACGTGCATTTGAATATTTGATTTGTTTTTTATCGTTTTGTAAAAAAAAAGAGAAACGAGAACCAGTAGCTGATGCAGGGCATAGATTAATATTTCTATGTGTCTGTGTATATATATATATATATAACTCTGTCTCTTTTTTTGCTTCTTTTTACACATTGTACTATTTCTATTCTATAGCATTGAACGTTCGTGGCGCTTCAGTGAACGCTGTCTAAGTACAAATCACACGAAATCTTCACAAACTCTATATTTGTTTCTCTTCTTCAACAGGTTAGTAAAATATCACCGGCAATATTGTAGAGACAGTCGTCTATCGTTAAGGTCTCTCGACTAACGGATCAACGATCTTACGAACTGAAAACTCGCCAATTAACATTCTTTATACGAAAGGAAGAAGAGAGAAATGTGTGAATCTCACAATTAAGTCGTCAAGTTACTTATACCTTACGTACAGAAATATACTCGAAGAAGTAAGAATATAAAGTAGCAACGGTGTCCAAATATACGCGATCACAAGAGAAAAATAAGAAAAATCGAAATCGGTCTATCAGTCCTCTGTTTTCCACTCGAAACTGTGAACCAGAGCGAGAAACGTTTTCGACTGACCAAGGTAAAGAATACTTATCATACTTATTCGTGCTTTGAACATCGTTGCTTGAATGCTGCTACGAGATCCATTTCTCTCGGTAGAGTTGAGTACGAAAGAAAGGGGTGCGATCACAGAGAAGGTACGCGGGCAAAATGGTCGCCTCGTGAGAGGGATCAAGCTTCCGTCGATCAACCAAGCTATTCCCTCTTTTGTGCACTCGTCTCGAATTTTCCGTGAAGTGAAAAAAGAACAAAGAAAAAACAGAAAACGTTGATAATCGTTTGAAAAAGCACACGTTACCCTGACCGATGTGCAACACTTCCACCCTCGTCACGGGCGACATACCATTTCTATTTACATAGATACGGAGACAATTACGAAAAAAGTAGACATTTCCCGCGTATGTTTGCGTACGTCTATAAACTATAGAGAATCTCAGATCGCCTGTTTCGTTCGAGACGCACGGAGATAATTGATAACATCTCGAGACACGAAGCGAGCTTGTTTCTTCGTTGAACGAGCGTACTGGACTGTGTTACGCTTCCTCGGAAGTGTTCGACTGGGACTTGACGATTTTACCGTTCTTTCGAGGAGATTCGTTCAAGGGTTGCGAGTCCTCTGGAACCGACTGCGGATACTTTTTATCGGGATAGTTCCACGGCTGGATGTCACCGGTGCCGAATATCTGATAGACCAGGTATGTGCCGCACGCGACGCACGCGGTCACACCGAACACTTGCCTCCACGCGTCGAGTGCTTGCTGTGAAATGAACGTAGAAAATAGCGAGAAATAGGGACAACGCCGGATTCTTCACTGTACAAGTATCTTCTTCGAGTACTAATTCGAATACTACCGTGCGTAGCTAGTGATACACGTTGAATTTTTACAGTAATTTCTCTCGAGAGTGTTTTTCAATATACGCTGATAAATTTGACCCTCGAGAGCAATTTTTTAAAATCTCAAACGAATACGGTGCCTTAAGAGTTTGTCAGATAAATGAAATTTTCACTTACGCTTTCCTGAGTGAGCAAACCAGCCACGACGGGGGAGAGGAAACTGGCGGACATGTGAATTGTTTGCGCGAACGCCAATATTGGACCTGGTAGCAAGAAATCATATGAGAAGATTCGAAAAGAATGCTGATATTTCGAAATAAATATCTACACTATTTACCGGCAAAATTTGGAGCGATGTCAACGATGCTCGCCATTGCTCCAGCATAGGCAGCAGTGATAAGAGTGACGGCTATGAACCACACGACTAAAACGAGAACTACATCGCAGCCCAGGTAGCCGATCAACACTAACATTATACCAGGAACTACTTGTGCTGTGAAAAATTCGAAACCATCACTGTTAATTAACACTGTTAAACTAATAAGAATTCTTTAAGTTAGACTAGGACTTTGAGAGGCACGTACAGGAAGCGGTGAACACTTTACGAACGTTCGTCAACGACATAATCTGTCGTGTGACGAGAACGTCAGCGACATAACAGAAGGCAACGGAGCTGAAGTAGCTACAGATGAATGGTAAACCTGAGAGAACACCATTCTGAAAAATGAACAACAGTTCTCGTGAAGAAGCTTGGTAATTCAAGATGAGACAAGTGTTTTGGAGGAAGGTTTCAAACATGTACCGCTTGAATACTGAATCCTAGAACTGTCTTCATGTACATTGGTCCAGAGATGATGAAGATATAGTGCACCCATATTCTTCCGAACGTGGTGATCCCTATTGACCATGCTGGCCAGGATGTGAGGATGGATCTCCATGGAACAGGCATACTCTTCAAGCAGAAGAACGTTATTAACCAAAAGAATATTGAATATTCGGGATGACAGTCCTTTTAAAACCTTGACTGCCACGTTGGTCACCTTTGACCCGAGATTCTTTTCTTGACAGGAGGGCCTCAAATGTTTAGAATAATTGAAGTAAAGTGAATATCGTGAATTAAAAATTTTGAACGTCACAGCTAACTACACTCTGTCCAATTTAAGAATAACCTCGATTCGCGCATGGTACGTGTCTAAGGCAGGGCTAGAACGTCCAAACTTAACCGCCTACGTTTTTCTCCGTCTTACCCTCTGCTACGCTCTCTGTCTACGCGCAGAACGGACGAAAATCGGTCCGAAAGCGAGGTTACTCTTAAATTGGACAGAGTATAGACATATTATATTCTGCTTAGAATAATGAAAATTTTCTTCTGGCCCCCCGAGAGCGCCATGTAAATCTCTGACGTGGCAATCAACAACGCGTTCGACCGAGAAATTTCGTTGAAACGAGAACGTACCTCGTTCGTCCCATGAACCTGATTTCCAACGCTGCTCTGAATGTACCGTAGCTCCTGCTGGGATATTCTCGGATGCGAGGCAGGCGTGTCGAAGGCGAAGAAGTACCAGAAAAGGCACCAGAACATACCGATGCTGCCGGTCGTGTAGAACACCGCTCTCCATCCGAAATGAGCAATGATGAATCCGCACAGTGGATAGGTTATCCCGATGCCGAAGCTGAACCCTGAATATAGATAATCTAGATGTTAGGAGTAGCTCACCCCACGACCACCCGGAAGGAAGCTGAAACATGATGCTTGTCGAATGGCTTCGCCTTGGCTCGTGTACGATTCATGCTTGGCGACGATCGCTCTTCAGCGGTGGCGTACATTTCACCCTGTAAAGCGATTCAAGTAGAGACTTAGTATGACGGGATGAGGATGAGAGCGATGCGTGACGATAGCTGGCTACAACAGTGTGGGAACTATGAAACTTCTATACCTGAAAATATCAAGAGCAAAGGTGTGGCACAGCCAGGCGAGCGACTTTTTCACCGACACTCTTCTCACTGGATATTTTAGCATTTTTTCTTATTTTTCTTTCGAAATGACAGAATAGAACAGAATAGTATGGCGAATCGATTGATCAAAGAGGTACACGCAGAGCCGTGAAATTCAAGGCTACGTTTATCTCCTCTCCAAATTTTTACAAACAAACACCCTTGCGGAGAGAGTTCAGCATTGTGTTTCTAGTGCTCGTTTGGACAAATTCGGAAAAAATTCACTATCGTGCATGGACCTCTCTGAAAGGAAAGAATTTTCGTATCTTCTCATAATCCAGCCTTGACTATTAACATGGTACAGCGTTTCATGGCGTGTTATATGAACCTCCGATCCCTCTGTTGCTTCCACAGACAGCGATAAAATCGATCGCATTGTAAACACGGTCGGTGAAGTATGAAGTAAAAAGGTGTTTGAAGAGTCAGAACTAGCAGGTGGTAGATAACAGCAGCAGAGGGATAAACGTGAGTAAGAAAGTGTTGCACGCACCAAGGCTAGCCCGAGCTACGAACGCGTACGAACAGAAAGAAATAGAACGAAATGGAACATGATGGATTGCGTTACACAGAATCGTTGCAGTTATACAGAACGTTTTATCGATCGATCGATCCGGTGGGACAATTTGAGCGAGGAGAATGATAATCGTATCGTTGCATCGATCGGCCGTGAAACAAAAGCGAATAAGAGATTTCTCCGTTCAGCTAAGAATATAAAGTAGTATATATATATATATGAAACAGTAAACGATTAGGGAGGTTATTAGCGTGTATACAAAACGTGTTTTTCCGTCGTGCCCGGCTGATTCTACCAGGTGGAAGTATACTCGGCCTTTCTCATGCTGTTGAGCGGTCGCTGTTGAGTATACCCCTCGTTCCGGCGAATTCAACCACGTGGAGCTTAAAAGGCAATCAGAGAACAAAATGCAAGAGGACCGTTTTAACGTCACGAGATCGTCGAACGTGACACGTGTGTGTGTGTGTGTATATATAGATCCGTTGATCCGGTACCGTGAATTTCGACTGAAAAAAAAACACAAAAAGCTTTCGTTTCTATTTTTTCTCTATCAATTTTTGCTTCTCATTCGAACTTCCCTTTCTCGTGTTCTGAAAGAATCTGTCAAGATCATTATTAGTAAAACATCCTCCATATATCGTTGAGATGAAAAAACGGGAAAAAGCAAAGAACGAGGAACAAAGAAGAGACACGGTTTGCAATTGGCAATATTCCTATGCGTTTTAGCGCGATCCCATCGTCGTGTGTGACAAACTTTCGCTATAAAGAAGAAAAGGGCGTTAGCGTGAGGGCAACCACTCACCTTGGAAGGAAGACATGAAACGTGAACGCTCCACCGGTGGGATCCAGTGTCCGACTATGGCGTACATCGCGGGCCACGTGAGACCCTAAACACACGTAACAGAGACATTCGAGATAATCGGGATGAAAAAAAGTGTCGTCCTGCGAAATATCGTCGCACATCGGTTTCTCTCGCGTTCTTAAGAATGTAACTTACACTGGCGATACCCTGTATACTGCGCAGAGCGATCATGAAGCCATAATGGATACCTGCTGCAGAAGGCATCAGCAAGCTACATATTGCTGTGATCAATTGCGAGCCACCGAAAACTGTCTTCGTGCCGAAGTACTGTGTCAGAACACCGCCGACGACTTGTGACAGGATGTAACACCAGTAGAACGAGCCACTGATGGCGGATTGTATGGTTGGACTCCAGTCGAATTCTCCTTGATCCTACGTGAAAAGAAACTTGAACCTGTTCTTCTTGGATCACTCTTTTTTTTTTGTGTATATTATGTACACTTTTAATTGTACAGTGTGCATAAGCGAGAAATTACAAGCACGGTTTTCAAGAACACCGGTCGATTACAGTATTCGCAGAATGTACGGAAATTCCGAGCAGAAATTATAGCTGATAATTTTTGTCGCAGATAAACACTTGTCATCGTTGCATAAGAATATAGGAACTTTGTGATTGTCTGGAGTAAATTGTAACGTGATTGTGTGGTTTTAATAGTTTCTAATTTATTTCAAGTTGACGATGGATGAAGTTTTAATGCGGTCATTATTAACTTTGCTTTTAATAGATTTCGTAATGTTTTCGCAAGGCCGATCGAGCACGTGACGTGACGTGACGTTGACGACGTCTCTTAACTCCTGGTTACGTTCGCCCGTAATCGATGCGATCTGCGTAACGTAATCGCGGCTATTACGACCGAGCAGCGTCTTGGAAAAAATAATGATACTGCGTTGTGGATGATACCTTGGAGAACGAACATTCTGAGAATGCGTGGAGAGAACGAGGGGCTTTGGGCTGGAAGTTTGGAGAGATCCGAGTTTGGAAACATGGGAAATTGGAAAGTTGAGAATTTGGGAACTTGGGAATTTGGAAACCTCCAAATTTGGAAACTTGAGAATTTGGGAACTTGAGAATTTGAAAACTTGAGAATTTGGGAACTTGGGAATTTTGAAACTTGAGAATTTGGGAACTTGGGAATTTTGAAACTTGAGAATTTGAAAACTTTGAAATTTGGAAACCTCCAAATTTGGAAACTTGAAAATTTGGAAATTTGGGAACTTGGTCACTTAGAAATTTGGAAACTTGGGAATTTGGAGACCTCCAAATTTGGTCACTTGGGAATTTGGAGACCTCCAAATTTGGTCACTTGGGAATTTGGAAACCTCAAAATTTGGAAACCCCCAAATCTGGTCACTAGGAAATTTGTTAACTTGGAACTCTGAAAATTGGGATATTTCCAAATTTGGCAGCTTCAAAAATTTTCCCAAAGACTTTCCTCCACGAACGCGATTAAAGAAGCGCTGCTCATCGATTACCACACACGAGACATAAACGCTTCAGACGTGGCGCCAAATGCGACAACAATTCTCATGATATGCAATTTCTCGCGTATCCGCAACTACTTTACCTCAGGTCTGATCGGTGTACTGTTGTTGGTGAACGTCGTGTTCAGCGTTGCGTAACAGTGTTGGGACGTCGCCGCGACATTGGTGTACGATGTCGCGGACGCTGGTTTCACCATCGCCACCATGGCGATGTTGATGTCGTTCCTCATCATGAACGAGACCGTGAATCCGGAGAACGACAGCATGTAGAGCACCACACGAGCCGGCATCATGTCTGGAAACGCGAACCGTCACTTTCATCCACACACGTATCCGCCGCGAAAACGAGCTTCTAAATGCTCCCTCTTTTCATTAACTCCGTCGACTAAACGAAACTTTTGGACATCTCTTCGCGCAACGCCTACTAGTTATTCTCACGACGAGAAACAAAAAAAATATCGCTCTTTTTCTCTTTATTTTTCGTACGAATTTGATAAATTTGAAGAGTCCTTTACCTCCCAGTTTTCGCAGGCTGCAGGGTGATCGTGTCTTATATATGGTATGATCTTCGTATCTGCGTAATAGATACAATTGATATTTTTACATAGAAACCAAGGAATGAGTTGAGTTATAGAGAGATCGGAGAGAAAAAAAGAAGAAAACGAGGGGGGAAGAATGGAATCGCGGGGATTACGATCGAAGAAAAAGAGGATCTAAATTGTCGGCTACTCTCTATCGCAAAGACACTTCGTTCTTCGTCCTATCACTTGAATGGACACTTTGGACACTAAGAATCGCGGCAAGGGGTAAGAACGGTCAAAGAAAATTCCTCCAAGTAGACGAAGAAAGAATACCTTTGGCTTCCCTGTCTGACATGTGACCGTCTCAATCTACTTCTTCTTCGATCTCAATCTACCGTACGTGTTTAATCGACATTTATGTTAGACTCGTCCTTTATTCTACTTATTCTCATTGACACAGCTATCCCAATTTAACGAGTAATTAATCGCCAACAATCACAACGTTTCTCTATTCATCTCGTGGATATTTAAAGGCAATCGCGGTTTCGTTAACTGCATCCACGAGGTCGTATCTGTTTCCTTACCCCTGAGAAGTCTCCATCTTTCTTCTCCTCGACTTGTTCCAACGTAGAGAAAAAACTTCTTCCTCGTGGATCACCTAAACACAGAGAAATCGGATGTTACAAATCGTCGCAACGATTTAACCATTAGCTTCGTTCTATCTGTATCACTATTATCGCCGTCGCAGACAGCCTGTCCGACCTGCTAGTTAGCATACGTAATCGATTCACGTAAAGCTGTGCAATCGTGAATCGGCAAAAACGAAACAACCTAACGAGTCTTCCTTCTTCTTCTTCGATCGCTACACAATGCTATCGCAATTTCACGCCGCGAATTTTTTATGTAACCAACTCAAGGTTCGAACGAAACTTATTTATCCTTGCCATCCGCGTTTATTTACCGAGTAATTCAGCTACGCGAACTGTAGCCTGTAACAACAGTCACTGGCCCTAATTGAGTTCTTTGTTTCAAGAACAAGGAATGTTCTTGTCGTTCTTATTATCACGGAGAAAAATAACCGAGGCATTTTTACGCAAGGACGAGCAGTTGAGCTAATGTCGGAGTTGCACAGAGGAAACGCGAGTTTGATAAACGGAATCGATTTTTCCTCCAACGACCCTGAGTTTCCTCTGAGTCACGCGTTTTTATCAGAGGAACAGAATCGTCCGAGGGTTGAGAATTTAATAGCGGAGCTTTGAGCGGGGGTGCGATGAAATTCCGACATCAAGTTCATATAGTAGGCATCCCACGAACGAGGATTCATCGCGAAAGGTCGCTGCGTGATGAGACAAATAGGTTATCCGTGGAACAAACGAGGTAACCTCGGCGTTCCTTTCAGGAGAAAAAACGCCTCGTTGTACTCCATTTTCTGTGATAACCTGTAACACGTGGTTACGTGTGCACAGTGAGCGTGCGTGTTCCATGGACGAGCAATTTCAACGAAGACCTCCGCGAAAATAATTACGGAGTAATATGTGATTATTTATAGTTGCGCCGGATGGAAATAAATTTCTCGCAAAACGGTCAAGTTTGAATAATTCACAGACAGTTTTCCATTCATCTATCGTGTACGATGCCTGTTGAGGAGAGTTCAGCTAATAAAATTAGCATCGTTAGGCACTCGTACTTTTTCATACAGATGATTCATCGTGTCGTTGTACTCGTGACGATTTATCAAGCTGTTGCATATGAAACAGTTGACTTCACCAGCGCATTATGTTTTCGATTAATTATTCTACGTCAATTTAAAGAGCAAAATTAGCCAAAAATTATTTTCTTATTTAACGACAGATTCTGCATGAAAGTGAACCATGGATCTAGATGAAATTCAAATGACCATGTTTTAATGTGAAAACAATTTAGTAAATAGACCGAGGTGGACAAAATTTTCGAAGACTTGCAGTTTCTTTTTCGAAATAAATGCACAAATAACTGCGGTTTCGGAATGGTCAAAGTGTGGATCATGCCTCGATTAATAAATATTTCACGCCTCGATCACTTCCTTTACAACGTAATACATTTAGTTGCGTCGCTGACATTTTCCTTCGGGTCGTGCTCATTAGTCAAACGACTATCGTGTCAGGAATTGTCATGCAAATTCGTCACCGGAAACGCGTATTGTAACAGTGACTTTCCGTGAAGCTCCGTTTTCCGTTCTCGGGAGCGTGTCTAGCACGTGCTCCAGTGACATAATTCTCTATCATCTCGCACACTTTTTCCTGCAAGTTTTCTCGTTGATACCGCGTAATCGAACTTTGTCGTATTTCACAGATCGACACGGGGGAAGTTTGTAACGTGACGAGCGTGATTTTCGAATTGAGCGTGTAGCATAATTAGCTGGAGATCGATAAGTTAGTATCGCGTGGCTGACGCCTCTGTTTCTCGAGTCTCGTGCAATCAACGCGGTCCTTTGAATTCATCGTTGCACTTTCCGCGCTGTTGAATTTACATTCAGGTTACCGTAGGATATTTAGAAAAGAGGTTTCTTGGTAAATTATTACTTAGTAAACTTCGACTTGGTAAATTTTGACTATCGTTCAACGTTATTTACCTCCGCGAAATGTCACCGCGAATGTAATCGTAATCTCGAAAACTGTTCCATCGCTGTCACATTATCATAGTGTTGCAACAACTTGACTCGGCTGATACCGCCGAAATAACGTCATCGTTTCGACTGTTCTCGAAAAATTATTCACAAGAAACACAGTCAATTGTGTCGAGCGTAAAGTGTCCACGATCTCTGATAACGCAAGGTTCAACACCAACGCACGACGACAACCGCGAAGAAAAAATGCGCGAATCGAGTGAAACTCGTTTACGAATGCAAAACCACGCGAACAACTTTGCTATCTCATCTACGTGCCGCATCATCGAAACTCGAGACGAGGGAAGAAAGAAAAGAGAGAACGAGTTCATGTCACAGAACGAATCAACGAGCAATCGTGAATTTATCATCACCGAGAAGTTCGATCGTAAATCACGAATATAATTAAACACAGAAATTGATCTACTTACAATGACGATACACCTGTGCAAACGGTACCTTTGCTTTTCTCGATCAATTTCACTGTTTACATCTCTTACAGGGAAACAGTCACGGGTTAGCCTTCGCGCGGAACTATAAGAGTTCGATGCCTTGAACGCACCTGTGTTCCTTCCTATGTACAACCTTTTTCAGAATTGTCGTCGATGCTCTCGTTACTTCCAGGTTTCGTACGATACTCCGAATGCCAATTTCTTAAAAAAAATCACCAATTTCTCGAAATTGCGTCCAATTGAAATAATTTCGCGATCGATGTTCGATACGGTGGGAAGCACGATTGCTTCGAAATTGAAGAGTTTATCAAGCAGAAGTGCAAAAGCGGAGAAGAACGTTCCGAGTAAAGCGAGATTATATCGAAAGAAGCGCGTCGCGTCGCGACGAGACTTGCGTGCAAAGTCGATTAGTGGTCGATGACTGGCGTGTTGAAGCAGCAGGTCTCAGAGAAAAGAAACATCATCCCGTACGAGGAGAACGGCCGACACTGAAAGCCAACCGGACCACGAGGCATTGACTATCTTCCAGGCCCCACCACTGCTGCGTTCCGGCCGTCTGCCGGGTGTAGGAAGTCCGCGAAGGATCGCGGCCCGAGCTTTGAACGAAGAAACGTGACGATGACTGTGTCGTTAACGCGACCAATTTCCACAACGTGATCGTCGCGTACGCACAATGGCCATCGAAGCAACGACACCGGATAATGGATCTTAATTGGATTTCGAAGATGAACAAAACGATCCAGATCTTCGTTCGGTCACATGTCTCTTCTCCTCGGACAATTTTTCTTTTGTCGCTCGAGCACGATACCGGCGATCGATTTTGTCTCGACGGAGCTTATCATGGTTGGAACGCTTGCGTTTGTAGAGACGTTCAAGTGGATCTCTCGACGAGCGCTTTTAACCCCTTAACGATCAGATTCTTCTCGACTTAATGTGCCAAAGACTGTTGGATTACTTCTAAGAACACCCTACGGAAATAATCAAGTGAGGACAAAAATATCTCCGCGTTATTTTAAACAAAGACACTAAGACTGCCACCAGGTGTGTCTGGTGTCCGTCTTCGAGTCACGCACTGCACAATGCGATACCGTAAAGTAAGCAGTTCCTAGGTATAGTTGGGGCCACGACATAGCGAGGTCGTAAATTAAACTCTGAAGAATCGGCATCGATTGATGTTGCGGCACTCAAGGCCGTGTGTTGCAGTCTGTTTGAGGGTTCCAACAATAAACGAATGCTAGCATATGATTTGGTACTTCAAGTAGAAAATGGTATTTCATTTACAAATGGAAAATATGTTAATATTAAGCTACACAATCTTTTCGCACTTTCTATCTGTATATAACACGAGTAGATAAACTAAGATGCTAAAGACATCAATAAGACCTTTACCTGTAACCGTACTTCCAAAAGCGGCTTCCCCCAGAGGGAGAAACCCTAATTTGTCCTAGCTGCATGCATATTAGAATCAGTTGACTTTCGCTGGATACAAGAATTCTTCGTACGGTCCTGACAATGGTTTCAAGTACTTATCTGCTCGTATCTCTGTCAATTTTCGGGTCCCGGCAGCTAAAACATGGTTTACTTTGACGTCTGGCCGATTTTACGACCTCGCTATATCGTGGCCCCGACTATACAAGGGGACCCCAAGTTTCTTTTTGGGTGCCCAGGAACAGTCCTTTAGAACGTTCAATAGCGTAAAGACATTTCCTCCGAGTCCGTCAATAAATAGCATACTACAAAGAATAAAAGACTATTTCTTTTTCATAATCCATTTCCAATAAAGACGATCACTCTTTTAAATTATTTCTCAGGCGTGTATAAATAAGTTTCTCGTTTATTGACAATGCTGTAACTGACATTTTAGGCGTAGAACAGAAAAGAGCGCAATATGGAAGATATGCAAGACATTAGCATAAGCGTCGAGGAATGATAATAAATATTTAAATATTTCACGTTCGTTGGTTCGGAAGTGCACGGCATTCTGCAGTAAGTTGTGCAATAATATGTCGGTTAACAGATATATTTTACTCGGCTAATATTACCTCGTGACGAAGTGATATTGTTGTATGTTATATCTACGGGATTTTTCGATCGGCGCTCTGTTTCAGTTGTTTACAATTCAGATTCCTTTCGTATATTGCGGCAACGCGGCGGCCAAGGAAACGAGCTACGTATACACAATTCCAATCGTCTAATGCTACGTTTGTAAAACAGAATACTCGAACGTTTACCTTCCCGCTTCCAAGCGGAATATCATATTTTTCAAACAATCCAGTTCCTCGTGTTCACACCCCGTTCGAACCTTTCATTAAGGATATTACAAGCTTGCAACGTGGAATTATCGCGAGTGAAACAGTTACACGCGATGTCGTTTAATCAAGCAACTCGCGAAACATTTCGCGTGCGGTAACATCAATCGAATGCGCCACGCGAAGCTCGTGAAAATTTCATTGCCACGTAAACCGAGCTAGGCTCCTAGTCGATACGACGTAACGAATGAATGATTTGCAAAAAAAAAGAAAGTCATCAAGAAACATTGTATATTTGACAAATGAAAAAAGCTTTTCTGTGTACGAGACTGTATTAGGGACGCCTCTTTTCCCGATAAGTTAGCGATAAGTAACGAAAATCATTAAGCGTAACATCACGTTTATCGCCAGACGCAATTTCCTATCTAATATTTTATTGCCCTCGTTATGTCACACTTTTGTACAAACCAGTGTATGGATATACACATACAGTCGGGGACGAACATATGTGGACACCTTTCAAAATTGGACCGAACTACTTGAGTTTTCTTGAGAAGTTAGAAGGATTAGTTTACTAGACGACTAGTTTTGAGAATTGCAATTTGTGTAGAATCGCGATGAAAATTGTCGCTGTTTACAACTTTTTTATCCGGGCTCGTAATGAAAATTTAAGAAATACGTTTCGTAGATCTATGTAAATCATGCGCACGCTGAAAATTTCATCGAAATCGGTTAACGTTGAAAAATTGTGAAAATCGCACTGTTTCACGACTTTCCGCCTAGAACTGTAACGAATCTGAAGATTCTTACATCTTTCGATGACGCTTGTTTCTCCATCCACAGTGTATATTAAAAATAAAAATAAATAAACGGTGAATTTTCGTCGTTCTTTGTTCCTCTTTTATTTCGCCACGATGTAATGTCCGCGGAATTGCAAAGGTTCCCACTAAGTGACGGGTCAATTTTCGCCGATCGATTGAACTATATACGCAGAAACACGTTCTACTCGTTTCCTTTCTACGCTAAATCCACGGAATGTCGCGTACAACAAGTGTCGTTCGATTTTTTCATTTCCTGCATCTAGTGTTACCTGACGTTTTCAACGTCAAGCCTATCCGTAATAGCGAAGCGACACAAGGTTAATGGGAAATGCATTGTTAGTATCCGTTAGGTGATCGTAATATAATTTATTGTCATACATAAGTACATGAAATTTTTTCCCACTCTTTATTCGTCAATTATGAAACGATGAAACGAGCGTTGAATTTCTGTTCTGCAGAAATTACGATGCAAATTGGATAAAAAAACAAAAAGAAACGCACATAAGCTCGTTATTAAAGGATAAACTTTGCGGCGTTAATAATCTTCGCTTTTTTGCTGCGATAACGCAACGTGAAATTAATTAAGATTACTCGACGGTTCTTACAAAGTAGAACAATATTTTGTGCAAGAGAAACAAAAAAAAAAAAGAAACGATGATAAAAATTAAATTAACAACGAATGATAAAAAAGACAGATTTTTTATCGATATACTCGCGATTTCGAACTTGTTTCGAGAACTTTAGTACGAACGTTGCGCGAAGCGGAAGAAATGCGCGCCCTCTGAATTTCGTTCTCGGTTGCATTACGCTTAATTATTTCGTAGTTGACCCTGTTAAATGGTCGGTCGCTCGATGGAAATTCTCAAGCCGGCCGGCGTGATATCGAACATGTGACAAGTTCTCGTGACTTTGCGAACTGCCCTTTGTCCTTCGATTCATGGATTTCTGGAAATCTACTTCTCCGTGTACACGACAACGTCCGTCTTACAAAATATCGAGTGCGCCTGTTCGTTACTCTTCTTACAAAACAAACATTCTCCTCCGCTCGTCTCGCCGATAGAAAATTTCCTAGACTAGCATCCTAGGGAATTATCCTGCTTCTGTAACTGGACTAAGGATTTCGTGCTGCAAACAAGCGGAAGGATTAGGGACATGCATGAGTTTAGAAGTAAATTAGGATCGCAGGAATTCCAGGGCTAACTTCGTTTATTTCACCAACCCTTTAGTTACAAACTTCGAAAAAAAAAAAACCTTTACTCTGTACATAATGAAACGAGCCACTGAGTTATATTAAACAATGTTGTATACTTCGCGCGAATAATACCATTACCAGTTACGACAATGTTGCAACAGTTCGCGGTATGTCAGAGATTACGTCAGTTTAATAAGAAATACGTCATACCGGTCCAAATTTACTAAGCCTATATATACGCCATGCCGAGGGCGTATACAGTGTTGCTTGTAACTATTTCCTCACTTCGTTTAAACTTGCAACAAATTAATTTTTCTCTCTGATAAATATCGTTGAAGAAATAAAACTACTCGTTTATTGACAGAAAATTCTCGACGTAAGATTCGTCAAGATTGGTCGGACGAAAGAAAATACTAAATGAATGGGTGTGAACGTGCTTCTCCATAGCATTCTATACACACAGTTCGCGGCTAAAGGGTTGGTAACTAAAATACGGCTCGTTACATTCACGAATAACCAACAAATACGAAATCACTCGATAATAACGTGCCCGTAGCACGTACCGGCAATCGCGATAACCAAACGCGACAGTTATCGACGACCGTTGCCACGTAATTAGTCTGTTACGAAGTTGCTATCTATTACGTCACACGAAATATCTTCGCCAATCATCGCTGAACGTGGTTCTTCTATCGCACACCGCGATACAAGATAGAAATATCGAACGTAACGACGAGACAGGACGATTGTGTCCTAACCTCAAACGGTGGTGACGCGTGCTTGGCTACGTGACTTTGAGGTTATGTTCTTACTGAACTTGGTCGCCGGAATGGGGTAGAAGAGTATGAAAACGATCGATCGTGACAGTGACTCACCGCCACTTCGTCTTCTCATCCGACGAACAGCTGCTGGAGTTTCCGCGACTTTCGGTTCCGGCTCACATTTTCTCACTGAACGCACGCGTCTCTCGTCGACGTGCTCATGCGCTCACCTGCATCTTTCTACCGACGATAGATCGTATCGCGTGATCGGCAACTTCCCTGTCATTCGTACCACCGCGAAACGCACAACGAGAAACAAACGCGCTTACTTGCCGTTCTCGACGAACAGCACGGATTCACGAACAATACGATACTTCGGCGTTGCGTGGAGGCGCCCTTGCGCCTTGCCGCTTGGAGGCGCCACGGTCACGTGACCAGCAGAGAGCAAACACGCTCGCGCGGAGAACTATTCGAAGCTACTGCGTCATGACACTGAGTCGTGGCGCCGTTTCCTTCGTCGTTTCTGCCCCGTATTCGAATCGTAATATGCTTTTTATCGATTTTCCCGCGCTGGATGAATAGTCAGTGGGCGGGTAAATACTCAAGGTCGAAAACAAGGGGTCGTTGGTGCGTGGGTGTGGAAGAGGAACGGGGATGGACGGCAGGGTGACACTTTGATTGCTCGAGCAATTCGACTTCAGGCCTGACGTAACGCAATTTTTCTTCCTGGGGTAAAATACTATTTTTAAATGGAGAAATGTAAAAATCCAATTTCTAACCACTTGCTGTATATGATAACCAGTCAGAGACTTGTGCCACAGATTTTGATAAAGACAGTTGTATCAGTAAGAAAAATTAATTCCAATTTTTTATTTAATTCAGAAAACTGAAGATTGTCAAATTTAATTAATCTACAGTACGTTAGATTTTCTTCGAAAATTGCTGACACTTAAATGTATACCCAGGGAAAGAAATTACGTGTCAAAGGGTTAAATGAAAAAATGATTCCTAGTAACTGTGACGCAAAATACCGAGGAAGAGGAGAGAAATAGCCTTTGTGATTAATAAAAATAAATTGCTCAATCAACGTTCTACATTTTATGCACTTCCTTCATCTTGCTAAATCGAGGTTTAGATTTCTTAATTATTCCTCGTGATATCGCGAAGACTCGTGAAACTCGGAGTGCAAAGATCGTGAGAGTGAATTGTAACATTCAGCAACCTTCTGTATGCTAATAACCTCCTCGAGGAACTACCAAGCAGTTATGCTAATGCGTTCTTTTCATTTCGACCGATGCATGAATCACACGTGCATCCACTTTAAATGGGTCAAAGCCTGTTCGCCGCGAAGGACTAGCACTTTCACCGCTGCGAACTATTTCAGAAAGATTTATCGATCGGTCGTTTCAACCTTGCGCAAATCGGATTTCTCCGTTTTCCCTCCGTTTTTTCTCCAACGGCGGGTTCTCATAACGCCG